ATTACGAGTCGAGGCTAAAGGATTGCGGGTTTTGGCTAAAGCTTGATGGGCAAAGGTGTATTTCTGCAACCAACCGTTTGCGCTGCACAATGGATTGCGATCAATTTGTTTAGATAAAAAAACTTTGGCACTTTGACTCCAAACGGTTTCAGAGGTTTTGTGAGATAAACAGGAACATAAGCGATAAGGAGGTTGGCTGAAGAAGTATGCGCCTCATGTCTACGACGGTTTTCGTCATTATGCAGATATAAACGATTCACGTGAAACTGACTGTACGTGACTGTTTGTAAATCGAATTCATTCCAAACACGGCATGATTTAAAAATATACATTACATTTCACACATATCTGACGTCAGACTGTATGCCAAACAAACCATGATACAGTAATCTTTAAAAAAAAAGAACGCTTCATGATTTGCACGCAAGCCGAATACTGCCAGGTTGCCCAGGCCAAGACAGTCGAATTTTCTTGAGGAATCCATTACTGGAGCATTCGGTTAGCCGAAGCCTGGCCCTAAAGCAGCGCGGCGGTGTGGTAAAACTGAAATCTATCGGAGGCCGGTGTCCAGGTCGTTGGATCGTACACCCTTTGGACGGATGCTACCGGACCTCTGTCCAATTCGGAATCACTTGGAGATACGCTTGGTGGCACTTACTTTCGCTAACCACAGACTCTGGGTGACCAAAGGCCTTGTGAATGTGCCGAACCGTCTGTCAGTGATTAATCCTTCATTCAATGGTGTCTTGATGATCTCTATTCGAACCGGTACACATGGGTGTACCACGTGGGCAATTGTTGTACCCCAAACTGTGACAAAAAAGTATCAGCGGAAGCGTTTCTTTCCTCAGTAGAACTGACTCGACTACGGACTGTGGACTGAGAAGTGTAGCACAGAAGAGGAAGAACTATGTGTGATCACCGTAAGGGATAAGTAGGATGCTACTGAATAATCATATCACATGATGGTCGGCAGATTTGCTGTCGTCCTCCGGTTCAACACCACGCCTAACCAAGTAGAGCCTTACGTGGTTCGCTACTCCAAGTCCCGTGGGGCTTATGTTACCGGTTTCCATCACCGAACAATAGGTCTCAGTGACTGTGGGGTTCCATCCTGTCTGTTGTTCATCATACGAAAAATGTGTGCCAAAAACACAGACACCAAGTGCACGATCAGTCACCTCGTGATTGAAAAGTGTCAGTTGTGGTAGTACCGGAATTAAAAAGTGGATGAGAAAAAATACTATGCAGTGGAAAGGGATAAACAAACACGACATATCAACTCATATATACGCTAACGGATGGCATAGCTAATGAATAATTTTCCCTCGACTGATTTAGATTTATGCGGAGCACATCAAAATAACAAGTTTAGGAAAGTATCGGAAACCAAATTCCCAGGATAACCTTCCACCAATGAGTCAATCAATTAATCTATTAGGACACAGGATGAAAACGAACGATGAGAAGGAAAAAACTAAGAGCTTGCAAAAAGGATCGAACTGGATATGGCCGCATTGCTTACCGTGATTCGTAGCTCATTGAGCAGGCGACTCAACCATAAATATGCCATCTGGGGGGCCGAATCGACCGTCTCGCCTGAGGCGTTCCTATCCGAGCTACCCAGTAGTGGGAAGAACACGCGCAACTGGGGTGGATAACGTCGCTTGCGCCAAGAGGGCGATCGAGCCACAAGACAGGCGAGTTGGAGCAAAAAGAGCCCAGTTCGATCCAATTCGTATGACAGTTCACCCGGCATGGATGATAATTCCGTCGGGTTGACTGTGCTGATTGGATTCGTGATTGACGACTGGGACAGGTTAATCAGTGCGAACAAATTGAACGGCCAGATGTCAAAGTACGGCGAACGCGATCGTCCCACACGAATCAATTTGTTCGGGTGATAGTGTGGACCCAGAGGTGGATAGGATGAGATCGATGTGGAATGCACAATTCCCGAGTCCTCGATATCATCTCGATGATGTACCGCAAATGTGAAACCGGGATTTTGGTTACCACCAACCGATTGATGTCTATTATCACTATTGGTGTTGTTGTTGTTGTTTACGTCTAGGTTGGCGCGCGATTTTGTTCGCCACGATCGGAAATATTGGCGTACCTTTTGCAGACCGGACAATGTGTCATCAAACACGACACGATCGAAGTGTCGAGAGAGAACAACATTCATCTAGTACGGGGATAATGATGTGGAGAAATATGAATGATTGCCGGTGGATGAGTGACAGGAGATAAACATTGAAATTGAGGATCAGTAAATATAGTCAAACCGTGAGTCGATAAACTACTCAATCATTCAAATGATGTAACTAATAGGCGATGACAAATCGGTCGAGCGAAGCAGTGAAAAACAAGAATAAGAACCATTCGACCACACGAGAAACGGTTCACAGAGGAGATTACATTTAGGGACTGCGTGTGTGCGGCGAGAGAGAACAATGTAACGAAGACACTAGAGAGACAAAGCTGTGAAAAAGTTAATCATATCACTTGTTTCACCTGTCATTCAACTGCTTCGAAAATAGTTTTTTTTCTGAATGACCCACTTCCTCTATTTGTTTACAGAGTATGACAGGTGGGAAAAATAAATGACTACTTTATGAGCGAATTATTATTCGCATTTTGATTCACGGGGTTACTTGTGAGTAGTGGTTTGGGATAACTGGTATTGATTCATTTGAACTGACAATCCTTCGGACTTCACCTTCATGCACAATCCTCAGCTCATCGATTCAACCATACAATCGGAAGCACTGGACTCGACTTTCGCTCTTATTAGAGCTCAACAGTAGTGCACATCCACCGTCCTATCCGAGACTTGACTCGGGACAAATCGCATGGAAGGCATGTGCGTTACCACTGTGCCAACCGGCTCATACCATGGGGCTGAACCAAATCGCCAATTCAGATTGATTCGGACGTTGTCTTCAATCATAGTCAATCAGTTCATTTGGCCCGAAAGCAACGAAGGGAGGAGACATAGATGACAATCTGTTAACTCCAATAGATAGCGATGGGTCCGGGGTTCAAACCCCGGAGGGGACAGTGGATATACACTACTGGTGAGCTCTAATAAGAGCGAAACTCAAGTTTACTGCTTCTGAGTATGTTTGAGTCGATGAACTGAGGATTTTTGTATGAAGCTGAAGTCTGAAGTCAGTTCAAATCAAACAAATTGGTATTCACAGAAACCGCGCAAAAGTAAACCCGATGATATAGAAACAGAAAACTTAGATTTGTTTCACAAACAAACAATAATTAAAGTACAGACGTGAAGAAATAACAAGGAGGAAAACGCAAAAGACTAATTCTAATCGTTCAACCAGGCGCACTCTGTTCTCTGCACTATCCAAATTGATATCTCGCAACTTAACGAGTGGTCTTCTGCACATAACCTTTCGAGGAACTCATCTAAATGTATGGATGTTTTTATTTTCGCTCCGCAGCGGCAAATTGTATTCTGGTTCTCCCGAGATGTGCCAATCACTATATTCATTAATGACACACTCCTCAGTCGAGGAACACCTGTCAGATATTTGGGTGTTATTCTTCACCAGTTCCTTTCTTGATTTGAGCACACCAACCATAGATTTGCAAACTTCAAAAGGTTTTCTTCTTTTGCCATTCCCTCCTATCTGACAAAACAGTCGATTCATGTCTGCATCTAACCTCACTGATTCTCTGCGATATCCGGGTCGCTCAGACATTTATCCATGTGTTGTGGTTAGCCAAAAACGTATCCAATCCATCGCGTTGTCTTCCAACACATCGAAACCTCTGATAAACTGATTCACAAAATACTGGCTGACTCCTAGCATCCATTAAACTCCGCATTATCTAAATGTATTTCAATCCCTTCGACTTGTTCGAAATACAAACATATTCAAGCACACGCTAAGGCGTATTACTCCTCCATTGTTTCTTNTACTTTGCATGACTCGTTCACATTCTTGAGTCAACTCCGCAAACTTGGTGCATTTATCCATTTATTCATTTTTGTTGGGTATCTGAGAGCTGAATTTGCACCAGACGGTGTAATAAAACAACTTTTTGACTACTCAGTTCGAACCCTATCAACATCCCCATTGAAATATGTTTTGTGGAAGTAGTACCGCATTAGTGGAGTAGTACATACACTAACATACTTGGAAAAACGAGGAGACTTGTTCATGGGATCTAATTAATGTCGGTGCTACTCCCAGCTTTACATTCCGTTCCCAAAAGTGACCGGCAGAAGTGAAAGTTTTGGTGATTATGCAAGCTGCATGGAACTGAAGAGGTTTCAATAAGGAACCTAACAAACTAAAGTGTTTGAGGTGGCAAGAACAACTGATATTTTTAAAACAAATAGCATGAACGCATTCACCTACCTCCATGTGAAGAATTTCCCGTATCAGGCTCACATATTCACC